TCCAGGTAAGGTTCACAATGTAATTGGGCTGTGTAAGCTCCAGTTTTGCCCATTTTATTAAACAAATTGGGGAAATTAAGTTTAAGCTATTAACTTTAAATTTATAAAAAAAATTTTAAACTCAACTATTTTTTTTTTTTTTTTGCATAGAACAACTGCTTGACTTTCCCATAAAGCTCAGTCTGCTGCTTTTTCAGATGTGAGAGCGAGACCACATCTGATAAATCATTATTTCTTTCTGAAGTAATGCAAAACTCTATAGTATCGCCAACCCAGTTTCTTTTCATTGATCTCATTATAGTTTAAATGTTTTGACTGGCATAAGTTCCAGTTCTTGAGCCTCTTGGGTGTGGGTTTACAGCTCCTGTGAGCCTGGATGCTTATCTTCTTCTCTTTGGCAATTTCAGGGTTACAAACTGCAGGTGCTAGGCGCCTAGTTTTGAATGTTGTGAACTAACGTTAGTGGGCCTCATGGTACTAATAAACAAATAACCCACACACAGGAGAGAGGATTTCTACTCTTCGTAATTCGTTCTCTTGTCTTGGTTACCTTTCGATTTCATAAACTCTGCTTTTTAACGTGCTAAACGGACTTTCTTCTCTCCCAAACTCTCTACTGTGAAATCCCTGTTCTCTCTGCCTTCCCTATATTTCCAGTCGTTCTAATCACAACAACTCTCTCTTACTTTTCGTCAAACTAACACCCTTCGCAGTAATCTAGTCAATCTAGTTCGTACCTCTCCTCCCGCTATAGATGCCCCTGTGCACATGTGCCTAATTCATCATAGATACCCCTGGTGTCTACTCTATTTGATGGTCATCTTGTCCTCCTCTCCAATACTCTGGAGAGAGTGGTCGCTCTCTTTTCTAACAGGGTCAAAGAACGCAAAAGAAGTGTTAGGAATGCCGACACTAATATTGCTCCTTTCTGTCATGTTAAAGATTACAGTCATCCTATTGACCGGTCCTCTGCTAAAACTGTCTACCCTACTTTTAGTTTTCACAGTCGCTGTCTTGTTGGAGCAACTCTTATACTATATAACTTTCTTGTATGAATCTTCGTCCTGGCTTTGTCTCTGTAGATACTTTCCTTTCTCATTACATTGTCAGATGCTCCAAACTTCAGAACACTCTTGACTTAACCTGATCCGTCTACTCCTTTCCTATTTTTTTCCTCTTTCTTTCTTTTCCTTTCTTCTGCCTATTATGTTCTTTTAGTTTTTCCTCCCTGCGTTATGGTCCCACTCCTGAGGGCGCTTCGCTCTCCTGCAGTGCTCCTTTTTCTTGTCCGTAGACTGACTCCACTTCTAGTCTCCCTCCCCCTTATTCCTCCACTAAACTACTACTCTTCAATCTACTACCACTATTTCTTCTACTACTAGTTCCACTACCTACCTACCACTACCACTATTTCTTCTTCTCCCTCTCTTGTTCCCGTCCTTTTTCCCGCTCGTCTATATATATACAGTACTGGCTACCTTACTCTTTAACTGAAGTAACTAAATGGTTATAACTATGACCATAAGGCCTCGGTCAGATGACCAAAAGCTCCAACGGCGGGTCATCATCTATGACCCCAGTCAGGAAACACTTGTCCTGTTTCCTGACGAACCTTACCTAGCCTAACCTAACTCTTTTCTGAATATCAAAATGGTATACAATACCGACAGGTTCGTAAGACACAGGCAACACAGTTAGTCATCTTTAAACCGTAACGTTTCGCCTACACAGTAGGCTTCTTCAGTCGAGTACAGAAAGTAGGCAGGAGCAGTAGAGATGTGAAGACGATGTAATCAGTCCATCACCCCTGATGGACTGATTACATCAAATCTACGTCTTCAAGGGTGATGGACTGATTACATCGTCTTCACATCTCTACTGCTCCTGCCTTCTTTCTGTACTCAACTGAAGAAGCCTACTGTGTAGGCGAAACGTTTCGGATTAAAGATACCTAACTGTTGTCTATATATCTTTGTGACTTTGTAAATGGTCCAAGTCGGACCGAAATGTCGTTGCTCCTCTCTCCTATGTGCGGGTTACTTGTGTATTCTAGTCACAGGGGGAAGTTTCTTGTCGCTGGTGAGGGGCTCTTGATCTAGGGAATTGGATCTATGCTACGGTTCTCTCAATTGAGCCTGAATGCCTTCCATCCCTTTCCCCTCAAAGGCACTGTATAATCCCTACAGGTTTAGTGCTTCCCATAATAATAATAATAATAATAATAATAATAATAATAATAATAATAATGTGCCTTTTTGTTATTCATGGTGTTGATCTCTAGTTTCTGTAATTCTCGAGAGGGTTGAATTATAGCTCTTGGGTTCTTAAGAAGTTGAGTTGCAGCTGTTTTGCTTTTTAAGAGCATTGCTTAAGTTGACGTCCAGAGAGCTGGGCATAGGGTTAAAATAAGATTTGTACGGATTTTTAACCAAGAGGGTTAGTCACCCAGGATAACTCAAGAAAGTCTGCGTCATTCAATTCAAAGTTTATTCTCTATAAGGATTACAATGCTGAGTTTACAGAAATTTGGTTATTGTTTGGTTTACATGTAGTAAAATTGTGATTACAGAGTGTACCACTAGAACGCTTAGCATGGCTAGGCATTTCGGGCATACTTAGTTTTATTCTTAATTGTAAAATAATACAAATTATGAGGTAAGTTGGTATTATGGCTAAGTGACTAAATACTAGTTTGTGAGTTTAGCAATGTGATTGCTTTTGTTTTGGCACAGTATATAGTTTCAATATTGGAGTATCACAGGATTCATTATTTTAAGACTGAGATTAATATTTCTGTTTATGGTCAAATGAGTGAGCGAGTGTAAGTGTGAACCACCAGGTGGTATTCGTGTAGTTAGTTGACGGGGTGTATCAGGGGTGTATCGAGGACTATGCCTTATTTCCATTGGAGTCCTTCAATCTTTTCCCCCAGGATGCGACCCACACCAGTCGATTAACACCCAAGTACCTACTTGTAGGTGAACAGGGACAGCAGGTGTAAGGAAACATTCCCAGTCAAACCATACCACGGGCGGGATTTGAACCTGCGGTCAGTCTCAAAACTCCAGACCGTCGCGTTAGCCACTGGACCAGTTTTGAGACTGACCGCGAGTTCAAATCCCGCCCGTGGTATGGTTTGTTTGCAATCGTGTCATTACAATTTCGTGAGTCATGTTGAAGGCAACATTCCCAGTGTTTGTAATCGGCTTGGGATTGAACCACGGACACTCATTGTGCGAAGCTAGGTCGTTGCCTACATGGCCCAGGAGCTAAAACAAGTCTTGGTTGGCTTTGTATGTTTCACACACACACAAGGAAAATGGAATAACTGATCCCAGCACCTGAAACCCATTCTCTTGGCTGACGACACGACTTATGTCATCTCTCACCCTAATCTTGCCACCCTCAACACCATTGTTAACGAGGAGCTGATCAAAATATCGACTTGGATGACAGCCAATAAACTTACGCTTAACACTGACAAAACCTACTATATTATGTTTGGTAGCAGAGCAGGAGATTCACAAATTAACATTAAGATCGACAACACTCTAATTACCAGACATAATGAGAGCAAATTCCTAGGCCTATACCTTGACAACAACCTGAATTTCAGCACCCATATCCAACACATAACCAAAAAAGTATCCAAAACGGTTGGGATCCTCTCCAAGATACGATACTACGTGCCGCAAAATGCCCTTCTCACACTATACCACTCACTTATTTATCCATACCTCACCTATGCTATTTATGCTTGGGGATCAACTGCAGCAACACACCTAAAGCCAATAATAACCCAACAAAAAGCTGCAGTAAGAATAATCACCAAATCCCATCCCTGGCAACACCCCCCCCCCCACTCTTCATAGATCTAAACTTACTCCCTGTTCAGTACATCCACACTTACTACTGTGCAATCTACATCTACAGGACCTTAAACTCCAATATCAACCTTGACCTAAAACGCTTTCTTGATAGTTGTGACAGAACCCACAGGCATAACACCAGACACAAACATCTCTACGACATTCCCTGTGTCCGACTAAACCTTTACAAAAATTCAATGTATGTCAAAGGCCCTAAAATCTGGAACACCCTACCTGAGAACTCTAGAACTGCAGACACATTCATCACCTTCAAAACTACCATTAGAAAACATCTTATCTCCCTGATACACCCCGTCAACTAACTACACGAATACCACCTGGTGGTTCACACACTCACTCACCCATTTGACCATAAACAGAAATATTAATCTCAATCTTAAAATAATGAATCCTGTGATACTCCAATACTGAAACTATGTACTGTGCCAAAACAAAAGCATTCACATTGCTAAACTCACAAACTAGTATTTAGTCACTTAGCCATAATACCAACTTACCTCATAATTTGTAATATTTTAAAATTAAGAATTAAACTAAGTCTGCCCGAAATGCCTAGCCATGCTAGGTGTTCTAGTGGTACACTCTGTAATCATTATTTTACTATATGTAAACCACACAATAACCAAATTCTGTAAACTCAGCATTGTAATCCTTATAGAGAATAAAATTTGAATTTGATAAATGACCAGGCGGGGTCGTTCTGAGGCTTCGGTAAGCATCTGAACCCGGAGGTCCGACGATGGTTTTTATTCGGTTCCTCAACCGGTTACGACCTTTAACTCCAACAACATTAACTTTCATGTTCATCTTATATTTCTTTTAAGAAAATAAATTAAGCATATCAATAAAGTATTTAAATATATATGACCGGGTGATTAGTTCATTTAGTAAACTATATTTGTCCTAATAATAACAGTCAACAAAACAGGTAACACTTATGGTATAATTTTAAGTCTTATAAAGGCCCAAGGGCTACATACATTTATTTAATATAACCTAAAGTAGGTTATTTTTATTCATATACGCTCCAATTTGGTATTCCTAACAAGTGAAATTGCGAAATAGTAAAAAATTCTTGAACTTTTTGTTACTACATCAGAGTGTTTACAATTGTTGGAACACGAGGCTGGCAGTGGGCGCGATGATGTATTTTGCTGACATATTTCACTAGCTGAGCCTTTGACAGCACTCTCTGAAGCTTATATGTACATACACGTGAGGAGCCTCACACGTATTCAGCGAGGGATCACACTGGGAAGGTTGAATTACCACAAACAGTAGATGAGTGAAGGAGAATACTCCAGTCCAAGCTGTGGTGAGGAGGTCACTACCTGCTGTCCCTCCTGCTGCTGCTGCTCCTCCTCCTGCTTACAGCAGGCAAGTGAGAACGTCCAGGGCTGTACCTGACTTGTTAGAAGCACTCCACTCTTGATGTTTTCTAGATATGTCTCCCTGTTGTTAGGTAATATGTTAAACATGTGAATCAAACAGGTGCTCTACAAGAACCCTAATGGAAATAAATGATGACCTAGATTTATTATTATTATTAGTAACTCAAAAGGTTAGTAACCCAGGATAAACGAATAGTCAAGTTCGTTGGGGTCCTTTAATACTCCACCCCCCCCCCCCCTCAGGATGCAACCCACAATAGTTGACTAACATCCAGTACCTACTTACTGCTAGGTGATCAGGGACATCATGTATAAGGAATATTGCCCGTTTCCACTCATGCTGAGAGTGATCTCCGGTCCCTCAGTGTGAGGGATGAGAATGCTACTACTTTAGCTATGAGCACTTTAGGTACTGGACAGGTGCCTAAAGTCAGTACCTGACCAGCCGGGTTGTGGTTCGTATGTTGGATTGCGTGCGGCTAGCAGTAGCAGCCTGGTTGATCAGGCCCTGGTTCACCATTAGGCCTGGTCACAGACCGGGCATTGAACCCCAGAACTCTCTCCAGGTATACTCGAACCCTAATATTAAAACTTACTAAGCTTAAAGTTACAACTTTTGCTTTCAGTCATGGTACAGCATTTGATTTTGTTGCAAAGTTTAAATAAAATAAAAAACAAGACGCAACAAGCATTGTTTGACTTGAAAAAACTAATTGTACACACACACACACACACACACACACACCACACACACAAAACAACACACAGCGAAGAGGCGGGGCCAGGAGCTTGACTCGACCCCTGCAACCACAAATAGGTGAGTACAAATAGGTGAGTACACACACACACACACACACACACACACACACACACACCACACACACACACAACACACACACACACACACACACACACACACACACACACACACCACACACACACACACACCACACACACACACACACACACACACACACCACACACACACACCACACACACACCCACCACACACACACAAACCGAGGAAGAAGTGAAGAGGCTTCTGAGTGAGCTAGATACCTCAAAGGCAATGGGGCCAGATAACATCTCCCTAGGGTATTGAGAGAGGGAGCAGAGGCCTATGTGTACCCCAAAACAACAATATTCAATACATCTATCGAAACAGGGAGATTGCCTGAGGCAGGGAAAAGACAGCAAATGTAGTCCCAATCTTTAAAAAGGAGACAGACATGAAGCATTAAACTACAGACCAGTGTCACTGACATGTATAGTATGCAAAATCATGGAAAAGTTTATCAGGAGAAGAGTGGGGGAAAACACCTAGAAAGGAATGATCTCATAAACAGCACCCAAACCCATGGTTTCAGGGACGGGAAATCCTGTGTCACAAACCTACTGGAGTTCTATGACATGGTGACAGCAGTAAGACAAGAGAGAGGGGGGTGGGTGGATTGCATTTTCTTGGACTGCAAGAAAGGGGTTTGACACAGTTCCACACAAGAGATTTGGGGCAAAAAACTGGAGGGCCAAGCAGGGATAACAGGGAAGGCACTTCAAAGGATCAGGGAATACTTGTCAGGAAGACAGCAGCGAGTCATGGTACATGGCGAGGTGTCAGAGTGGGCACCTGTGACCAGCGGGGGTCCCCCAGGGGTCAGTCCTAGGAAACCCGTGCTGTTTCTGGTATTTGTGAACGACATGACGGAAGGAATAGACTTGAGGTGTCCCTGTTTGCAGATGACGTGAAGTTGATGAGAAGAATCACTCGATCGAAGACCAGGCAGAACTACAAAGGATCTGGACGGCTGCAGAACCTGGTCCAGCAATTGGCTCCCGGAGTTCAATCCCACCAAGTGCAAAGCATGAAAATTGGGGAAGGGCAAAGAAGGGCCGCAGACGGAGTACAGTCTAGGGGGTCCCGAGACTAAAAACCCACTCAAGGAAAAAGATCTTGGGGTGAGTATAAAAACCAGGCACATCTCCTGAAGCGCACATCAACCAAATAACTGCTGCAGCATATTGGGCGCCTAGCAAACCTCAGAACAGCATTCCGACATCTTAATAAGGAATCATTCAGGACCCTGTACAAACCCTGTATGTTAGGCCATATTGGAGTATGCGGCACCATTTGGAACCCACACCTAGCCAAGCACGTGAAGAAACTAGAGAAAGTGCAAAGGTTTGCAACAAGACTAGTCCCAGAGCTAAGAGGGGATGGGCCTACGAGGAGAGGTTAAGGGAAATCAACCCGACGACACTGGAGGACAGGAGAGATAGGGGGGACATGATAACGACATACAAAAATACTGAGAGGAATTTACAAGGTGGACAAAGAAAAGGATGTTCCAGAGATTGGACACAGTAACAAGGGGACACAGTTGGAAGCTGAAGACACAGATGAATCACAGGGATGTTAGGAAGTATTTCTTCAGCCACAGAGTAGTCAGTAAGTGGAATAGTTTGGGAAGCGATGTAGTGGAGGCAGGATCCATACATAGCTTTAAGCAGAGGTATGATAAAGCTCACGGCTCAGGGAGAGTGACCTAGTAGCGATCAGTGAAGAGGCGGGGCCAGGAGCTCGGACTCGACCCCCGCAACCTCAACTAGGTGAGTACAACCTCAACTAGGTGAGTACACATACACATACATAATCAGTGCTTTTCTTGGCTCAGTTAATAGCAGCTTCAGCTTGGATACTGTACGACTGTTGTCCGCTCCTCAGCACGAGTGGAAATGGGCATATTAATTGGTAGATGGCTCTATAATTTCCTAACAAATAGAACACAAATAGTAGTAGTAAACAGAGTAAAGTCTGAGGTGGCTATGGTGAAAAGTTCTGTTCTGCTCTCTTCCTGTTCCTCATCCTCATATTTGACATAAACAGGGATGTAAGCCACAGCACTGTGTCTTCCTTTGCAGATGACACCCGAATTTGCATGAGTGTCCTCCATTGAAGACACCACAAGACTCCAGGCGGACATCAACCAAATCTTTAAATGGGCTGCAGAAAACAATATGAAGTTCAATGATGAGAAATTTCAATTACTCCGATATGGAAAACGTGAGGAAATTAAAACTGTATCGGAGTATAAAACAAATTCCAGCCACATGATAGAGCAAAAAACTAATGTAAAAGACCTGGGAGTGATCATGTCAGAGGATTTCACTTTCAATGACCATAACATTGTATCAATCACATCTGCTAGAAAAATGACAGGATGGATAATGAAAACCTAAACTAGGGATGCCAAGCCCATGATGACACTCTTCAGGTCACTAGTTCTATCTAGGCTGGAATATTGCTGCACAGTAACAGCACCTTTCAAGGCAGGTGAAATTGCTGTTCTAGAAAATGTACAGAGAACCTTCACAGTGCGCATAACTGAGATAAAACACCTCAATTACTGGGAGCGCTTGAAGTTCCTGAACCTCTACTCCCTGGAATGCAGGCAGGAGAGATACATGATTATATACACCTGGAAAATCAGGGGTGCCACTATCACTTTAAGAGACAACACAAGTAAGTATCAGGGGCCCAAGACTGTTCAACTGCCTCCCAGCATACATTAGGGGAATTACCAATAGACCCCTGGCTGTCTTCAAGAAGGCACTGGACAGGCACCTAAAGTCAGTACTTGACCAGCCGGGCTGTGGTTTGTACGTCGGGTTGCGTGCGACCAACAGTAATGGCCTGTTTGATCAAGCCCTGATCCACCATGAGGCCTGGTCACAGACCAGGCCACAGGGGTGTTGACCCCGAAACCCTCTCCAGGTATACCTGATGCCCCTGTTCACCTGGTGGTAAGTAGGTACCTGGGTAATAGGCAACTGGTGTGGGTTGCATCGTGGTAGAGAAGATTAAAGGACCCCAGTGGAAATACTGCAGAGCCCTTGATGACAACCTGACTTACTGGGTTAGGCTGGGTGGCTACTAGTCCCCTTGGTTAACAATCCAAACAAAATCATCATCTTCCAGCTAAATAAGATCTTGAAAAGTGGTTGGCTATGAAGCCCCACATATGTTAAACTATGTATGATAATTTTACTTATGTGTGCCTGTACCTAAATAAACTTGCTTGCTTATGAGAGTACAGTACATGTGTGTAATTCTGCTTATCTGCACAGATACTAAAGCTTGAGCATTAATAGTTCAGATTATTTGTATTGTGTACACTGGTGAATGTACATACACGCACATGAACTCTTGAGTCCACCTTACAGATACGGACACAAATAAATATGTAGGAAAAGATCAGATTGTTTCTAACTTATCTTGTATTTTCAGCATAAATTACAAGGTGATAGTAAATTATTACTATGGAAGTAGACTGGGTCTATCACATGAGACGGGAAATGCAAGAGATTCTTCCAGGACTTTTTCTTGGCCCCTATAGTGCAGCTACTAAATCCAAGGTAAAATTGCTCAATAAATTATGGTATAGATATACAAATACAATATAAGATACAATGATAGAATGTTTGTACAGAGGAATGCAGAAAGTCTCTTAATATACAGAGCATTTCGGACAAACTTGAGACTAACTTAAGATATGGATAAATGAAGTGTAATGAACACTTGTCAGTGCTCAATAATAGCCCACATGGAAACAGAAACTAGGAAGATTAATTGTTTTTTACATATCAATTTCCTTCTGGGATCCTCTTCAGCAGATACGAAAGTGAAAGGAGAACATGATCACATAGGGAAGGTTGCACCTTTCCTCGTACAAGGGAGTAGTGTGTGGGGGAGACATGTACAGGACCTGTCATCTCACCCACTCACTACTTGACATGCTCCCCTATGTGCCACTCCCTTGTATGGGGAGAGATACAGCCTTCCTTATATATTCATGTTCTCCTTTCAGTTTTGCATCTGCTGAAGAGGATCCCAGAAGGGGATCAAAATCTACAGACCAATTAATCTTTTGAGCTTCTGTCTCCATTTTTTTTTTTCAACACTGCTCGTCTCCCACCGAGGCAGGGTGACCCAAAAATGAAAAACACACTCACCATCAGTCATATATAATCACTGTCTTTGCAGAGGCTTACAGATATGACAGTTCAGATATCACTCCAAACACCAAATATCCCAAACTCCTCCTTTGAAGTGTAGGCATTGTACTTCCCACCTCCTGGACTAAAGTCTGGCTAACTGGTTATTATGGAGCAAATACAATATACATATATAGGATTTGCCTTTTAAATATTTAATTGTTAGTTTATGGCTCTTGTTCACTTTTATCAAAGCCACTGAAAGATATAATTTGATTAATGAATCTCAGCACAGTTGTAGAAAGGGGTCTCATTAAAGGAGATGCCTTGGCACTGGTGAAGGGCTCGTGATCCAAAGAATTGAAATTACACTCTATTTCCTTGGATTGAATCTGATTATTAACTCCCACTCCCTTAGGCACTATATGACCCTTATAGGTTTAGCACTCACTTGAAAATAATAACTTACTAAAGGGAATTCTTGCCTTATGAATTTACTAATCTTTTGCACTTAGGTATTTGAGGCAGTAAACCATGATAAAGAATACAATATTTTGTCCTTGAACTTCACCAAGGCTTTTGAGAGTACCATAGGAAACTTGAAGAAAGCAACTACACATGGTGTAGGTGGAGAAATTATCTCCTGTATCAAGGTATGGCTGACCAGTAGGTGACAGTGTGTGTACATAAGTGGGGAGAAATCAAAATGGGAACCCATTACAAGTGTTGTGCCACAGGGGTCAGTATTAGGACCCTTTTTGTTGACAATCTGCATAAATGACATAGATGAAGGAATAAATAGTGATATATTAAGTTTGCCAATGATACTAAAATAGGCCATCAGATAATTTCTGCTGAGGACATTAGAAAGTTGCAGATGACCTATATAGGTAATGTTGTGGTCGAAGAATTGCAGGTGCAGTTCATTGTGGTTCTAATCCTAGGAAAAAACTATGGCACCTATAAGCTAAATGCTTTAGATCTTAGTCAAACTGAATGCAAAAAAAATTTAGGAGCTCTGGTTAGTAGAAATTTAATGTCAGGATGACAATGCATCAGTGTTTACAATAAAAGAATTCTTGGCTTATCAAGAAATTACAAATAATTCAATCTTATTAAAGTTGTACTTCAACCTTGTATAATTTGGTAGAGCATTATTTAGATTATGTATGTGCTAGAAAAATACACAGAAGGATGACTGAGTTGATTCCATGTATCCGATACTTTTCTTACGAAGATAGGCTGGAAAACAGATAGGTAAAGGGAATATAAATAACATGCTGAAAATATCTAACCAAGACAGGACTTGGAGCAGTGTATTCAAGGTGGACAAATTTAAATTTAGAAAGGACTTTGTCCTCAATTTCTGGATGTTGTTCAGCCATAGATTTTGTCAGTTAAAACCAAATTGTGTTTGATCGGAGTCCATTGAATCAAGGTTTTACTTACGTATTTTATGACAAGAAGAATAAATTACCATATGCACCATATTATGCTATACTGTACAGATCCTCCCCAACTTCCAACCTATGTGACTTACGTCCATCTGCACTTACAACCCAAAAAAATACACTATAAATTAGACAAAATTATTTGTGAATGATACCTACGGGTAAGGAAGGAACATTAGTTTATGGGTAACGAAACTTAGGGGAATAAAGCAAGTTGATAAAAAAAAAATGAGATAACTGTGACAGAAATTTATGTAGATGTTGTACAAGTATACAGATCTACATGCCATGTTAGCATAATTCTGACATCCATCCATTTCAAGATTCGACCAGTCGGTCGGAACAGAACTTGAATGTAAATTAGGGAGGATCTGTATTAATAAATTAATTCAGTTTCTTTAAAATAAAAAATTCTGGCATTGGCTGTTGCAAAATTGTCAATGATAACATTAAAAATATTGTATAGACAATTTCATGCAAAGTGCTCAAGAGGAAAGTGCTTACATGCTCTTGATTTTTGATGGCTTGAAGGACATTTTTCACCATTGCTAGAAGAGAGAGTGAATGTTTTCATAACAGTTACTGTGCATGCTTCTCATTAGTGACATGCAGATACAGTGGAACCTCTACTTGCTAGTTTAATCCGTTCCATGACCTTGCTCGCAAGTGGATTTGCTTGTTTACAGAGTCAATTTTTCTCATTTAAATTAATTGAAATGCATTTAATCCATTCCAGTGGAATTCTGTACTTCAATAATTTGGTTAATATCAACTTTACTGCTTATTTATCTATCTCACTTGATCTAATATGACATAATAAACAATATAAATAACATAGAAACCTGATATATACTCTAAAATGAATAAAATATGTAATTCATGTAGTGGTATGGGCGGTGTTGGGGTGGACGACAGTTTGTCTGGAGACCGGACAAAATATTTCTTGAATAATTTCGCTAATATCATCTATACGGCTTATTTATCTATCACAGTTCATCTAACATGACATAACAAACAATATAAATAACATAGAAACCTGACATATACCGTAGAATGAATAAAATGTGTCATTATATATGTGGCGGCGGCAGCCGATGAGTGTTTGGAGACAGGACAAAATACTCCTTGAATATTTCGCTATCATCAACTCTGCGGCTTATTTATCTATCATAGTTCATCTAATATGACATAACAAACAATATAAGTAACATATAAACCTGATATATACTCTAAAATGAATAAAATATGTCATTATATGTGTGGCAGCGGCAACAGCCAACAAGAGTTTGTCTGGAGACAGGACGAAATACTCCATCAACTCTGCGGCTTATTTATCTAGAATGAATAAAATGTCATTATGTAACAGGTGGAGGTGGCCACAACTTATCCCTCTTTGTTGTGGTAAACACTGCCATCTAGTGACAGCCTTTTGAAGCCATCTATTATTATAATTATTATTGTGTAGTACATTATTATTCTATATATATTATTATTATACGTATATTATTATTATATGTATTACTATTATACGTATTATTATTATTATTGTTGTATTATATTATATTATCCCTGGAGATGGGAAGTACAGTGCCTGCACTCTGAAGGAGGGGTGTTAATGTTGCAGTTTAAAAACTGTAGTGTAAAGCACCCTTCTGGCAAGACAGTGAAGGAGTGAATGATGGTGAAAGTTTTTCTTTTTCGGGCCAACCTGCCTTGGTGGGAATCGGCCAGTGTGATAATAAATAAAAAAATAATATATATTATTATACTATTATTATTATTATACGTATTATTATTATACATATTATTATTACTATTATTATTATTACAATATAAATAATTTGTAATTTTTATTCACACAAAAAATATAAGATTTACTGTTATGCCTTATTGTAATAATTGTATAAATAATGTCAACCCATTCACGACTGCATATTGGAATGGACAGTGACATCATTTGTTTATTCTTGAACATAGTCAAGAAAATGAGCATTTCTCCCTCGTTGAGCTCAATTTCAAGGTACTTTTCATCATGAAAACAATCAAAATCATATCTATTTCTGTAATATATCTTCCATTCTATCAAATGAGACCAAAAAAAACGAGAATACAACCATAAAAAACCATAGAAAAATACCACTAAGGGGTGGCTAATTGCTGAGAAGTCACCTCCATTATTTATGCTCCGATTTCTTTCATTTTTGGTGTACATTAAGAAGCATCTTTCCATCATACATTGCCCAAGTTTCAATAAGATAGTCCAACAAACAAATGAGATACAATTCCCTAGATCAAGGCCCATCACCAGCATCAAGGAACCTCCTTTGAGGTCTCCTCACTTATGGAAATTTTGCTCGCGTGTGGAAACAAAAAAATCAACCCATCGACTGCTCGTATTTGGAAAAACTCACACATGGATGCTCACAAGTAGAGGTTCCACTGTACTGCTTGACACTGAATCACTTTAACCATGGGTATAGGGCTTGAGCAGTTCAAATGCATAATGAAAAACCAAGCACCCTATTTTTCACCCTAAATAGCAGGCAGATTTCCGTTTTCATCAAAATTGGTAGTGATGTCATTTAGTTAATGTATAATTATATTACACATACTTCACCCTGCCTCGGTGGGAAACAGCCGAAGTGTTAAAAAAAATTATACTTCAAGGTGGGAGTTTACCTTGATGTTGAAGGGCTGTTGATTCAAGGAGTTTATGCAGTCATTTCAACCTCTGAACAGACAGTAATATTTCTCTTCCCCTCACATTTCCCAGGCTTTGCATGACCCATATGGGTTTAGCGCTTCCCTGTGAATGATAATAGTACTGTACTGTAATGGTACAATACAGGTTGACCATCACTAATCCAGCATCATCGGGACCTGTAGGGTGCCGGATTAGTAATTTTGCTGGATTACAGAGTGGTTAAGTTAGAATACATTCAACCCAACAGTGATATTTACACATCAGGGATTTCATTCACTTTACGCCCTATTTTTGGTCCATTCCATTGTTCCAATCTACCAAACTCGTAGGTATTTCGATAGTATTCCTTCTATTCTGTCGATTGAGCACAAGAATCCACCCATTTATCTATTTCAGCTACCCAATAAAGTGGTCAGAAATTGGTAATTTGGCCAATTTTCTCACAAATTTCAAGAGATGCCAATTTTAAAATAGGGTCTAGAATAAACAGTGCAGAAAATAATGTCAACCAATTCATGACTACGTATTAGAAAAGCCAGTTGGACACATATTGGACGGTGACATTATTTGTTTACTCTTGAACATTGGCAAAAATCGAACATTGCCACTACTTCGAATTCAATTTCAAGGTACTTTCCATTGTGAAACCATTGAAAATCATATCTATTTCTGTAATATATCTTCCATTCTATCAAATGAGACCAAAGAAACAAGAACACATCCATAAAAATCATGTGAAAATAAACTGAATATGAAACTGAATATTTTTTATTTGCTTTTTCAGTTCAATACCCTTTTGAATAATGGAATCACACACATCATATGCATCAGACAGAGTATAGAAGCACAGTTGGTTCGAGCTAATTTCCCTGACAAAATAAAGTAAGTAATTATAATAATTGATGAGTATCCTTAATCAGTGTTATGTGTAGTAAGGTAATGTGAGTTAAAATTGTATGATTGAATTACACAATAAGTTAAGAATGTTGAAGTTAAAAAAGGAGGTGCTTAAAGTCCATTTTCATAAAGTGAATTGTGTTTTTCTGTATACAGGTTTCCCAAACTTACGAATAGCTAAGTTACAAGCATCTGCACTTACAGAACATATTTGTAGGAAAAATATGTTTTACTATTGTTGTATATGGTTTACAGTCAAGTTATCTGAGTTGAAAACACCAGGAACATTAATTGTTTGTAAATTTAAACACAAAGAATACAAATTATTTGTAAGGTTAATTTTGTACCAGTGCCTCTAGAGTGACTTTGAGAATAATAATAATAATAATAATAATATCTTTATTTACTACAAGTACATGTACAAGGTATACAGTCCTAGCTGACAACAATGACATACTACTATATAGAAAGTCCCTTGTTATGCTCTGCATTTCGGGCAAATTAGGTCAGTGTCCCAGGATGCGACCCACACCAGTCGACTAACACCCAGGTACCCATTTTACTGATGGGGAACATAGACAACAGGTGGAAAGAAACACGTCCAATGTTTCTACTCTGGCTGGGAATCGAACCCAGGCCCTCGCCGTGTGAAGCGAGAGCGTTAACCACCAGGCCACTCACTTTCTGGCTGCCTGTCCAGAAGAACATACCCCTCTTAACTTTCAGAACCAGTCTACCTGAATTTCTTTGTAAATATTGTATTACTTTTGATACCATATCAGGTGCCTTGAATTCATTCCCCTCTAATATCATTACCACTTACATATTTACCTGGTGAACGTTCAAGCACCCTACCTCGAGGTACTACTTTCTCACCTTTAAAAACTTGAATATGTGAACTATAAATGATAGTAGTAGGTTGGTAGACAGCAACCGCCCAGGGAGGTACTACCGTCCTGCCAAGTGAGTGTAAAACGGCAACCTGTAATTGTTTTACGTGATAGTAGGATTGCTGGTGTCTTTTTTCTGTCTCATAAACATACAAGATTTCAGGTACGTCTTGCTACTTCTACTTACACTTAGGTCACACTACACATACATGTACATGTTTAGTTATACACACTCATCTGAGTTTTCTTTGATTTTACCTTAATAGTTCTTGGACTTACTACTTTTCCTTTTATATCTATGGGGAAGTGGAATAAGAATCTTTCCTCCATAAGCCATGTGTGTTGTAAAAGTCAACTAAAATGCCGGGAACCATGGGCTAGTAACCCCTTTTCCTGTAATAATTACTATAAAGAATAAGAAGAAGAAAATTGTCAAAGTGGGAAGTCTGAATGTGCGTGGATGTTGTGCAAATGATAAGAAAGAGATGATTGTGTATGTTATGAGTGAGAAGAAGCTGGATGTCCTGGCTTTAAATGAAACAAAGATGAAGGGGGTAGGAGAGTTTCAGTGGAGAGGAATAAATGGGATTAGGTCAGGGGTTTCAAATAGAGTTAGAGCTAAAGAAGGAGTAGCAATAATGTTGAAGGATAAGTTATGGCAGGAAAAGAGGGACTATAAATGTATTAATTCAAGGATTATGTGGAGTAAAATAAAGGTTGGATGTGAAAAGTGGGTTATAGTAAGTGTATATGCATCTGGAGAAGAGAGAAGTGTAGAGGAGAGAGAGAAATTTTGGGAAATGTTGAGTGAATGCATGGGGAGTTTTGAACCAAGTGTGAGAGTAATGGTGGTTGGGGATTTCAATGCTAAGTGGGCAAAAATGTTGTGGAAGGAGTAGTAGGTAAATTTGGGGTGCCAGGGGTAAATGAAAATGGGGAGCCTTTAATTGAGCTATGTGTAGAAAGAGGTTTAGTAATAAGTAATACATATTTTATGAAGAAGAGGATAAATAAATATCAAGGTATGATATAGCACATAAGGAAAGTAGTTTGTTAGATTATGTATTGGTGGATAAAAGGTTGATGGGTAGGCTCCAGGATGTACACATTTATAGAGGGGCAACTGACATATTGGATCATTATTTAGTTGTAGCTACAGTTAGAGTAAGAGGTAGATGGGAAAAGAGGAAAATGGCAACAATAAGTAAGAGGGAGGTGAGAGTGTATAAACTAAGGGAGGAGGAAGTTCGGGTGAGATATAAGCAACTATTGGCAGAAAGGTGGACTGGTGCAAGTATGAGCAGTGGGGGGATTGAAGAGGGTTGGAATAGTTTTAAAAATGCAGTATTAGAATGTGGGGCAGAAGTTTGTGGTTATAGGAGGGTGGGTGCAGGAGGAAAGAGGAGTGATTGGTGGAATGACGAAGTGAAGGTTGTGACAAAAGAGAAAAAGTTAGCTTTTGAGAGGCTTTTACAAAGCAGAAGTGTTATAAGAAGAGTAGAGTATATGGGGAGTAAAAGAAAGGTGGAGAGAGTGGTGAGAGAGTGCAAAAGGAGAGCAGATGATAGAGTGGAAGAGGCACTGTCAAGAAATTTTAATGAAACTAAGAAAAAAATTTGGAGTGAGTTAAACAAGTTAAGAAAGCCTAGGGAACAAATGGATTTGTCAGTTAAAAACAGAGTAGGGGAGTTAGTAGATGGGGAGATGGAGGTTTTGGGTAGATGGCGAGAATATTTTGAGGAACTTTTTAATGTCGGCGAAGAACGGGAGGCAGTAATTTCATGCACTGGACAGGGAGGTATACCATCTTTTAGGAGTGAAGAAGAACAGGATGTGAGTGTGGGGGAGGTGCGTGAGGCATTATGTAGAATGAAAGGGAGTAAAGCAGCTGGAACTGACGGGATTATGACAGAAATGCTAAAAGCATGGCGGGATATAGTGTTGGAGTGGTTGGTATTTTTGTTTAATAAATGTATGGTGTGGAGTTAATAAAAGTATTAGTCAGAGGGCTGAAGAGGGGTTGTTGAGGTGGTTTGGTCATTTAGAGAGAATGGATCAAAGTAGAATGACATGGAGAGCATTTAAATCTGTAGGAGAAGGAAGGCGGGGTAGGGGTCGTCCTCAAAAAGGTTGGAAGGAATGGGTAAGGGAGGTTTTGTGGGCGAGGGGCTTGGACTTCCAGCAGGTGTGCATGAGCATGATCGATAGGAGTGAATGGAGACGAATGGTATTTGGGACCTGACGATCTGTTGGAGTGTGAGCAGGGTAATATTTAGTGAAGGGATTCAGGGAAACCGGTTATTTTTATATAGCCGGACTTGAGTCCTAGAAATGGGAAGTACAATGCCTGCAATCTAAAGGAGGGGTTCGGGATATTAGCAGTTTGGAGGGATATGTTGTGTATCTTTATACGTATATGTTTCTAAACTGTTGTGTTCTGAGCACCTCTGCAAAAACAGTGATTGTGTGAGTGAGGTGAAAGTGTTGAATTGTATTTTCTTTTTGGGGATTTTCTTTCTTTTTGGGTCACCCTGCCTCGGTGGGAGACGGCCAACTTGTTAAAAAAAAATGTAATTACTGTATTATATTTAATGAGGCACATTGATTAATCTTGAATTGTTTGCAGGTACTTGATACTTGACATGGCAGACAACTTGACTCAAAACCTCATATCTCATGTATCAGAATGTCGAAGTTTCATTGATGAATGCCTTGCTTCAGGAGGAAAATGTCTTGTTCATGGCAACCTTGGAATTTCCCGCAGTGCTGCAATTGTAGTTGCTTATGTTATGGAGAAGAAGACGCTAACTTATAAGTAAGTTGAATATAAATGTTTTTAACGCTTTCAGGGTCCGTGCCGTAGATCTATGGCCTTACGTTGAGGGTCCAAACCGTAGATCTACGCCATGAACTTGGCTCACTCTGATAAGCTGCGAGCGGTAAATTTGGGCCTAGATATGAGAGAATACATCTATGTGGTATGTGTGCACCACATAAAACAAATCCTGCAACTCACAGTGCATAATGAGAGAAAAAACTGAGATCGTTGTTTTTGACTAAAACAGCGACTTTGCAGTGTTTTTTCGTATGTTTTTTATAGTTGTATATGTGATTTCTTGGTCTCATTTGATAGAATGGAAGATATATTACAGAAACAGAGATAATTTTGATTGGTTTTAGTACTGGAAATGGCTTGAAACTGTGCTCAAAGTAGCGGAAATGTTAAATTTTTGCCGCTGTTCAAGAGTAAACAAATGACCTCACACGTCTAATACACGCCAGCTGGTGGGTCTAATATACGTTCACAAATGTGGTGATATTATTTAAACAATTATTACTATTGCATATCATTAAATTTTCTATTTTTTGGTTTGAATAAAAATTCATTATGTTTAACTGTGAATAAAAAATCAAAATGGAATTCATTTGTAAAGCCTGAAAACATAACTAATGAACAGAGGAAATGTTAGTTTAGTGCCATGAATGCCTACATTGTTTATTCTGGACCCTGTTTTGAAATTGGAGTATTTTGAACTTTGCATTAAATTGGCCAAATTACCAATTTCCGATCACTTTATTTTGTAGTTGAAACAGATGACTTGGCAATTTCTTGTGCTCACTCGATAGAATAGAAGTAATACTAGTGAAATAGTTAAGAATTTGGTTGACTGCAGTAATGTAATTGGCCAAAACTGGGAGTCAAAATCAGCAAAATTGCCGATGCGTAAATATCGCTGACACATCAAAATTCGTGAGAGAATAATTTCGTCAATTTTCCATCAAATTTCGTACTTTTTGTTTTATTACCTTCAGAAAAAGATTCTCTACCATTTCATAAGAAAAAATAAAATTATTTTTTGAAAATTCTTGGACTCTGGTGCACACTTCGAAATTTGGCCTCTGGACCCTGAAAGGGTTAAACCATGAGTAGATCACTGTGCTTGATGTTAATTTAATTTTTTTTTGTGCTGATAATGTGGCCAGTTAATATTTGACACTATAATAAAACCTCTCTCAATTGGTTTATTCTAAAAAGTTGGCTGCTCCTAATTTTCTTTTTATTAACCACATTGTACATTTCTAACCAAGATAGGGTGTCCCAAAAAAGAAACACACACTATTATTCATTCAATACCTTTTTTTTTGCAAAGACCATATGGATATCACAGTTCAGATAACCCTCTGAACTGCAACATCACCATCACCTCCAGAATTCAAGTTTGGCTAACTGGTTTCCCAAAAACCCCTTGTAAAAGTTTACATACAGTCTGATAATGGGATGTGCTTCCTCTCCCCAGATATCTTTCTCCTCCAGTTTACCATATTAGACTTCACCCTTCTAGTGATTTGCCATGAGGATTGAGAGAGCATTTTCCAAAGGCAGGCAGGGAGATGCTACTGGCAATATGCTGCCCCAGTAGGGGCAAGGCATGCATCTGGCAGGAAGGAGTGTTTGGCAGGTGGGGAGGTGTTACTGGTGTTTATTGTTTGTCATTAAATTTTTCTAAGGAATGTACAAATCTTCAGTGTCAGTTAGCAATCAGAAATAATAGCATCCCACTTCTGTGAATAATAATTACATGCACCAAACATTAGTAGATAGGTAGACATGAGCCACCCAGGTACATATGTAGTGCCATCCTGTCATATGAGTGTCAGTCTGAAGCCTATTAATGTTTGCTCTTTGACAGGATTCTTGATCATCTATTTGTCTCATGAGCATGTAAGATGGCAGGCACAAGAAATCTTGTAGACTTCTTTTTATATTCAATATGCATTTCATATAAATGTGAGTATTTTTTAACACCACCCATCTTCCACCAAAGTAGGGTACCCAGAAAAGGAAACTTCTTCTTTTCTTTCAATGTACCAGCCGTATCCCACAGAGGTGGGGTGGCCCAAAAGGAAAAACGAAAGTTTCTCCTTTCAAATTTAGTAATATATACAGGAGAAGGGGTTACTAGCCCCTTACTCCTGGCATTTTAATCGCCTCTTACGACACACATGGAGAAAAGGAAACATTCACCATAATTAATTAAATATCTGTCTTGCCTGCTTCTCATGTGCTACCCCATGGTGTTGTCCTTACCTTTAAGCATCAGGTGACATTTTTATGAATGATCTTTGATAGGGGCCTGAGATGGGTATCTCATATTAAGAAGCTCAAAATGGAAGCTCTGTGGGCACTAGACATTGTCAAGATGCTCTCCCATCATACCTGGGGGCAGATGAGCAGAATATGCTCTGCCTGCTTGCAGCCTTGTGCTGTTCCAGGCTGGAGTATGGCTGCCAGATGTACTCGGCCAGTTCTTCCCTGCTGCACTTGCTAACTCATGTCCATTATCTAGGGCATTGCACAGGTGTATTTGTACTTTCCCTGTTGAGAGCATCTATGTTGACTTTGATGATCTTTTTCTGGATCTCCATGTAAGGAACTAGGCCTATGTTGCCTGTTTCAAATTCAGCATTTACCTGGCAACCCAGCTTATTTTGCAGTCCTTATAGTTGAAAAATGGGGAGCCCTTCTCACTTTGGGAGCCTCCTGTGCTTTTTGTGTTCAGATGCAGGCTGTTCTCCTGTATTGTGGCCTTGCTGTGTCTATGATCAGAGAGGTTGAGTTCTCTCTCTGCCCTCCTTGAATGATGCTTGCAGTATGTTTTTGTAGGCGGTAGATGGGAATTGCTATGTGCTGAGCTCTGTTGATAACCTTGGCTGATTACTTGGAGCATGATTTTGTTCATACTTCAAGGCTAAAGGTCTCTGTTGACAGGTGTAAAGGTAGTGTTGGTCTTTCAGTGATTGCCAAGGAGACTCTTATTATACAGAGATACCAAATCCTCTGTTCACTGTGGAGCTCCACACAATTCTTCCTACCTGCTCTCGTCCTGATAGTTGGCTTAACTGGGTCTCGGTTCACTGTCTACTTTGATTTCTAGTATTCTGTTTACCCTGGCCTGGAATGTTTCTGTTCACCATGTCGTCCAAAAGACCCATGAGTGGTTAGTCTTGTCTCCACACGCAGGACAAGGATGGGGAGTTCTGTTGGTGCTCAGGCCATGTTATTGTCCTGGGAAATGAAATGCTGGAGCAGAGGTTTCTATTTCAAGTGCACTGTTTACCAGACTTTTACCTCAGTAAGTTCAAGGGTCAACATACTTAGATACTGTATGGTAGTGGGAAGTGGCAGGTCAGGTGGGCCCTACAGACAAGAAACAAGTTTTACAGGAGTCAGCAGGACTCCTGCTGCCTTTGTGCAGCTTGTAGGTGATGCTAACTGTGGAGCACATTTTAGCTGTTTGATCATGGCTTAGTCTCTTTGCTTTTGTCATAGTAATTATAATTACCAGGGTGCACCTAGCAATCTCTTGAGAGCTTTCAGGAGAGTCTTTTGACATTGAAATTTTAAAGCAATTTTTAACTGATTTTTATTTAAACTTGTGTGCTAGTATTTACAGCCTCTCCTCACTTAGCGACGTACTCATTTACTTACGGCTCAGACTTACGACTGGCTTTCTGACCAATATGCATACCTAAATAATGTATATTAGAACTGGTTTCCTCTATTCTGTTTATTACAGTATACAGTACACTGCTGTATAAACATTTAAAAATATAGTACAAATGTTATAAATGGTGCAAAGGTGACATTAAAACAATATCAGAGATGGTTGACACAAACCCATTACCATTATAGTGTGCTCCTTGCTTAGCCACAAATTCGCTTACCCACGTGGTCTTAGGAACGCAACTCCGTCATTAAGTGAGGAGAGGCTATATTTTGAATTGTATGTTTTATTAATGCTATCAGTTTTATATCATGTGTTACTTTTATCTTTATTGTTCTTAAGCATATTTTATATACTACAGTATTTTTATTTCTGAGTGTGCTGAACAATCCATGGTCAATGTTCTTAAAGTTCCAAAACTACCTACCTACTTTACCTACCCTCAATTGAACCTCGATTACTAAGAGTGACCTGATTTCCTGGTCACTTCCATGTGAATCATTTCACATGAATCAGGAAGTTTTCAATACTTAAATTGTGGTTTCATTTCAGGGAAGCACTAGAATTTGTGCAAAATAGAAGATATTGTATCAACCCGAATGATGGTTTCAAACAACAGCTAATTGAGTATGAAGCAATTTACAGAGCCCAGCAGACTCTTCTCAATGGTCAGTGTTCTCAAGAAAAAGGAAAACTTAAAAGAAAGCATGATCAGACTATTGATGATTTTGATCAGGATTCTTCAGAACCAATGGAAGCCTTAAGTTGATAAACAGAAATCCCTATATGGGCAAAAAAATTCTTACACAATCAGAATTTGTGATAATTGAAATATTGTGGAACCAGACTGTTTCATTAATGGTCCTTGTAAAGAGTTAGTTTTTGTAAAATTTTATTTTTTTATTTTCTTAAGGCTAGATGAAATATTCCAGTATAGCACAGTACTTTAGTAAGTTTATTACTGAAAGGAAAGTCATGACACTCATTTCTCTTGTTTTGTGGAGGCTTAAGGTTAGAGTCTAGATACTATAGTCTTGAATTCAACTTATTTATTTTTGAATACAGAACTTTTATAAGATTTTTTATACGTACTTGTATAATGTGTAGAAATATAAATAATTGATGTTAATAGTTTATAGCGTAGACAGGCCTTTGCTCATGTTAAATTAAGACATTTATTTCTTCTTTGAGGAAAACACAATGTTTTTGTTGATATGGACTTTGGATAGCAGATTGTTCTTTTATTTTACATTTTAATTCTAAGCATACCTAATAAAGGTAGAATTTTTTTAGTATTTTTACATTTCATAAAAAATGCATACCTGTTGTTGCTTGAAGCAGACAGATTCTGCATTAATTAAATCTTTGTTTACATAGAGCACATCTTGATAGAAATATCCCATATTTTACTTAGAAACTTGTTTAGTATTATCCTTCTCTGGTTACATTGTAAGATAGGATACAGTAACACCAGCTTATGTTTGTTTCAATCTTTATTGCATTTCTTTGTCAAAACACATGCTGAAAGCAAGTTTTCTTACTGTCATCTACAGTGGATGGATATGCTTCATTTTCAAGTAATCACTAAATCATGCTTTGTATTTTATTTTGTTACAGTGTACTTAACTGTCTGAATAATATGATGAATCGCCACAAACATTTTGACAAGCTCATGTTCTCAGGGACAGTTCTAGGCTGCTAGGTTCTAGAATGAGAGAGAAGGGGAGAAAGGAGAGAATGTGTGGTTACCTATTTGTGTATACAAATACATTCAGTTAACTATTTCTGCATATACAGTACAGTACAAGTATATGCTCAGTTATCTATTTGTGTATACTATACTTGCAAGTGTATGATCAGATGCCTATTTTCATGTATACATGCAAGTATATTCAGCCACCTATTTATTATGTATACATACAAATGTAGGTTCAGTTACCTCTTATAAACTAGGAGTAAAGCTATGCTTATAGATCCCATCTATAATTGCTGTCATAAATTTTTGAAGATTTTACAAATACCACATAACCTTCTTTTGGAACATAGTTCAGCTATCAACCACACTATTGTCAAAAAATATTTTTTATGTCTTCTTGACTACTTTTTTTAAATTTTAAATTACGACTGTTTGTTCTTCCCTTTGTTGTCCCTTGGAAATGCCCCTTATCTATTTTCCCATGTCTGTTTATGAATTTGTATTTTATTAATATTATTATTATTCCTTATTTAAATATGCTTGCAAACAATGACATTTCTGGTACTTTGATTTTCATTATTTATATTTTTTTGATGGAATTCATTTGTTTCACATCTTTAACTTCTATTTTTTTTTATTAACACATCGGTCGCTTCCCATCAAGGCAGGGTGGCCCAAAAAAGAAAAACTTTAATCATCATTCACTCCATCACTGTCTTGCCAGAGGCACACTTACACTACAGTTATATAACTGCAACATTAACCCCTCCTTGAGAATGTAGGCACCGTACTTCCCGTCTCCAGGACTCAAGTCTGGCCTGCCGGTTTCCCTGAATCCCTTCATAAATGTTACCCTGCTCACACTTCAAACACGTCAAGTCCTAAAAACCATTTGTCTTTATTCGCTCCTATCTAACACACTCACACATGCTTGCTGGAAGTCCAAGCCCCTCGCACACAAAACCTCCTTTACCCCCCTCCCTCCAACCTTTCCTAGGCTGACCCGTACCCCGCCTACAGTGAAATCTCTCAAAACGTGGAGTTACATTCCTGAAAATCAACACCTCCTGCACTACACATGCATATGGAGAAAATAGGGTTGTGTTCTAGAAATTTTAAATTTACTACTAGGTAAAAATTGCTGCTGTACTTACCTTACACTATGTTAGTTATTCCTTGAAGTATTTGAAGAATGGGGAAGATAAAAGTGGACTAACTGGGCTGAGTTGAATGTAGCAAGGTTTATAAGCTGATACACTCAGTACATGTGAACAAACCAAATTTTACCAACGATATAGGAACTCGCCACACCTATTCCCAACAAACATATACCAAAGATGAATGAATTTCATAAAATCATCACAAAGAACAGATATTAATAAAATAATGTGGGAGGCAGCATAAGCTGGGCCTGTCAGCATGTCAACATTGGTAAAAAAAAAAAAAATTAAATTCCTTATCAATTTGTACCAAACATAGAAACCACCACTATACCAGATGATCATATGTTAATAACCAAGAAAAATAAAGTAATACACAAAATACTGTGGGAGATTATCTGGGAGATGTAAAGAGAACTGCCAACTCAGTCTTTGGCTCTAAAATATTGTGAGACAACAGATTATTTTTCTAATTTTTCAGTACATATCTGAATTGTCTGTATAACTTACATATTTTGTATGATCTGTGCATGATGAGCCTATAATGCTTAATGGAAGAGAGAGCAATTAGTGGGTTACACCATGTGCTTTGGCTGAACCAAAGCTAGGGTCAATAGGAAATAGAACACTTTCATCTCCTCACTCAAGATATTACTGTACTGCAATGTTAATATAATAAGAGGCATGAACTGGCAAGAGACTTGTCCATACATCTTCCCTTAATGTATTAGCCTTACCTTGCAAGGTGTGGGGAATAGAATATGCAATGTATTTGGACATTCAGCTGATTTAATGGATGCGCCAGACACTGCTGCTCGGTCAGCAGTACATGACCTACCAATTTCATATAGAGATGTTCCATTTACGGACTATTTTGCTGTAATAGCTACCCACCTTCACACCCTTTGGCAACAACGTTAGTCTACTCTACTCGATAATAAACTTCAGTCTATTAAACCGAGTATAGGTTACTGGCCGTCTTCTTGTCACCAGTGAGATTGGGAGACTACTCTCTCCCGTCTCCGCATTGGCCATACTTGTCTTACTCGTGGATATCTCATGGAGAGTCAGGTTCCATTATCGGTCAGCCACATTCTGTTAGACTGCCCGCTTTATCAACGAGCACGCAGAATTTACCTCCAACGTCGTCTTCGCTCCGCTGCTCTCTCTTTACCTTCCCTTCTTGCTGATGGACCCACCTTTCATCCGGACTCTCTCATTGACTTTTTGACAACTGACTGACTTCACAAACTTTGATGATACCTTTAGCCCTTTCTACCTCGATCTCTTGCTACCCTCTACCCTGCACTATCCCCTGCCCCGCTGTTTTCTGTAACCTACTGAGCGCCCCTCCCTCCTTCCCTGCTTCCTTTCCTACCCTGCTTCCTTTCCTACCCTGCAGCGCTGTATAGCCCTTGTGGCTTAGCGCTTCTTTTTTATTATAATAATAATAATGGATGCTCTGGCTTTCTCCTTTAAATGCTTATTCCCTTTTTATTATCATCAATTGCCAACATGCTAAGCAATTGTAGAAATACAGCTAGAGTAGATACATCACTATTAAAGGCACAGGAATATGTAATTAGTGTAATGATAATTTATGATACCAGGTTACTAACTTAAGGGGTTAGTCTAAATAAAGTCATCATCTTCTACTGAACATTTGTGAATTCTTGATATTAATACACTGAATATTCTCTTCAAACTTTTCATGCAGGCATTTTATATAAACTAAGTATTCCTAAGCCTAGGTAGTAGGTTGGTAGACAGCAACTGCCAGGGAGGTACTACTGTCCTGCCAAGTGAGTGTAAAACAAAAGAATGTAATTATTTTACAAGATGGTAGGAATGGTGGTGTCTTTTTTTCTGTCTCATAAACATGCAAGATTTCAGTTAGGTCTTGCTACTTCTACTTACATTAAGGTCACACTACACATGCATGTACAAGCATATATATACAGACCCATCTGGGTTTTCTTTTATTTTTCTTACTAGCTCTTCTTGTTTATTTCCACTTATCTCCATGGGGAAGTGGAACAGAATTCTTCCTACATAAGCCATGAGTGTCAGTAAGAGTCGACTAAAATGCCGGGAGCAAAGGACTAGTAACCCTTTCTCCTGTATATTGTTAAATGTAAAAGGAGAAGCTTTTGTTTTCTTTTTGGGCCACCCCGCCTCGGTGGGATACGGCTGGTGCATTGAAAGAAAGAAATATTCCTAAGTTATATAAATTCTGAAAGTCATTAGGCAAGAAAAATACTGTCTAGTGAACATAATTTGCTCTCACTTAGCAAATACAGTCAAAGGTAGAGAACTGGGGGTACCTACTCATGGCCCATTGAGCAGATTTAGAAAATCTGTGGATTGTATCACAATAGCCAGATTTGGCATATTTAATTTTTTTGTAGATTTACTGCTTAATATCAAGATTCTTTTGCTCTATGAAATTCTTCAACTGCATTTACACAATTATAGTGTGTGAGGTCGTAGAATTAGAGGGGTTTATTGTAGGTTTTTAAAGGTGCAGACACTGTTCTAGACACACATTTCAGTTGTAGCCTAACATACAACTAGCAATGTGTAAAAGCCCACTGTATGCTTTACAATATCACTGCTCTGACATTTCACAGTCCAGGGTGGGAACAAATGTGTCATTCTTCAGGTAAGGCTACAGACAACCCAGACTCATAATAGTTCTCCATAGAGATTGTAGGGAAAGTTACCCATTCTGATAAGGTTTAACTCTTTTAGGGTTTCGCCATACTAGTACGGCTTACGCACCAGGGTTTTTGACGTACTAATACGCCTAAATTCTAGCGCCCTCAAATCTAGTGAGAGAAAGCTGGTAGGCCTACATATGAAAGAATGAGTCTATGTGGTCAGTGTGCGCGGTATAAAAAAAATCCTGCAGCACACAGTGCGTAATGAAAAAAAAAAACTTTGACCGTGGTTTTGGATTAAAACAGCGACTTTGCACTGTATTTTCGTATGGTATTTATTGTTGTATTCTAGTTTTCCTGGTCTCATTTTATAGAATGGAAGACATATTACAGAAATTGAGATGATTTTGACTGGTTTTACAAAGAAAAGTACCTTGAAATTGAGCTCAAAGTAGCAGAAATGTTCGATTTTTACCAAAGTTCAAAAGTAAACAAATCATGCTGTGTTCCAATACACATCAACTGGTGAGTCTAATATTCTTTCACAAGTGTGCTGATATTATTTATACCATTTCTACACTAATGCAGTATGCATAACAGTAAATCTTATTTTTTTTTGTGAGAATAAAAATTCAAAGTGGAAAGCAAAAGAATGCAAGAGGGGGATGGGGACGTGACTAAGGAACAGAGGAAATGTTATTTTAGTGCCAGGAATGCCTTTCTTGTTTATTTTGGACCCTATTCAGAAATTGGCATCTTTTGAAATTTGTGTAAAATTGCTAAATTCTGACCACTGTATTGGATAGTTGAAATCGGTAAATGAGTGGTTTCTTGTACTCATTCGATAGAAAAAATGGAGTTCTAGTGAAATAGTTATGATTTTTTCGACAAGTACACTGGAATTGGCCGAAAATAGGGCTCGAAGTGGACAAAATCGCCGATGCGTAAACATCATCGAGACCGCTAACTTCGTGAGAGCATAATTCCGTAAGTTTTCCATTAAATTTCATACTTTTGGTGTCATTATGATTGGGAGAAGATTCTCTATCTTTTCATAAGATTTTTTTTTTTTTTTTTTTTTTTTTTTTTTTAATTTGGCCGACAATGAGAACAAGTCTCTGAGAGGGCCTGTCGACTATGAAAGGGTTAATGGGGTGTTGGCCCCTCACCCAGTGCTAACTTCATTTTCTGATATGCCCTGTTTTCTCTGGCTGATCATTAAATATACCAAATAAGTTTAATGCCTAATAAATAATAATAATGGCCCTCTTGTTCTTTCAAATTATGCCCATCTTTAGAACAAGATGGCTTAATAAAATTTAAAAATGTGTGCAAAATTGATATGAAGTATTTCTTCAAATGGTGGTAGGTAGCTGGAATGGACTGCCAAAGCAGGTTTTAAGTGGTAGATTCCTAACCCTTGTATGTCAATAGGCAGTAAACATTTTTTGTGATGAACAAACTACTATCTCCACCACTTAAAAACAAAATATTAATTTTAGAAGGCAAGATATCATGAGCATAGGTTTACTCCTATAACTACAAATAGGTAATTACATGTTGAGGGTAACATCATTAGCATATGTACACCACACATGTAAGATCAGTATTTTGTATGCAGCACCTGAATGACTCTCTGACATCATTGTACACATCAAGAACATGGAAAAAAGTTCAGAGGTTTTGCCTTAGGCTGATCCCAGAGCTCAAAAAGAGTTAGGATATAAAGATAAGCTAAAAGAACTAAGCTTTTCAACACTAGAGGTATGACGAACTGGAGACATGATCACAACATGGGAGTTACAGGGTACTGAAGATATCTACAGAGAAGACAGGGATGCACTTTTGAACATAAGACAGAACTGATAAATGGAGGACAGTTGGAACTGACAGTCTAGGTGAGCCAGAATGACTAGGATCAATATCAAGCTGAGCCCAAGTGGAGACATCCTTAGTAAAAAGTATTCACTACATGGACTTATTACTTTTATAAATTCTTGCATTAAAACAAGGTGATCAAAGCCTGCATCTTTTATTTTAAGTTTTTTAATGATTACTACCCTCTCATTCCTTGGATCAAACCTGATTGTTTCCCCATTTCCTAGGCACTGTTATGACCTTTACTGGTTTAGCATTTTCCCCAAGAATGTAGAAGTAATTTTGACATTATGTGCTCCAGTGTGTTTTAGAGTTGTGCGCTCTCATTCCTGGCAGGTTTCTTAGTTCATTTGCAAATACAGTACTTCCTGTAATTTTTACTGAGGTGCCCCTACATGGAGAGGTGCTTGATGTTGATGAAAGGTTCTTGATTCAAGGAACTGGCATTAACTTCACTTTCCTTGGATAAAACCTGATTACAGCCCATTTTCTAGATGCTGTATTGTCCCATGCACATGTATTACTACCCTGTGAGTTACTGTACAGTAAAGGTCCGATAAAACAGACTAACAGTGGAGGAGGGGGATGTGTGATTTATTGAAAATTTTGTTGTATTGAACATTTCAATTAAGCAGATGTAGTCTGCTTAATCGATTGACTACCGGGCATGGACGCACTCCTAGTAAAATATACTTAGTCTGCTGTATTGATGGACTATCAGTACAATACATATTATCTGTACAATGAGCCTGAAAAGAAAAAGGTTAAAAGTACAGCACATTAAAATAGAATAGAGTACAGTACAGTGTATAGTAATTTTTTATTACCTTTCTCTATGCTGTATAATCCTCCGGGTTTAGCGCTTCCCCCTTGATTATAATAATAATAATAATAATTACCTTTCTCTAGTGTTCTGTTTTTGCTGTGCCATACTCCTGGGTTTAGCGCTTCCCCTTGATTATAATAATAATATTGTGCCATACTCCTCACACACCTCTAGTAATTGCTCATTTACCTGACAGTTTTTTTCTTTTTTTTATTGTTTCTTTGTGAGAATTAATAAAATGATTTTTTGGACTTGGTGTAAATTTGTTGAATGGATTCAAAAGAAGATATGACAAGACTCATGTAATCGTAATGACACGAGTTCAGTCCCTGCCTTTTTTTTTTTTTTCCTCCAAGATATGACAAGTCACATGGCCTTCTCACCTTTTCCCCTCCTTCACTTCCTTCCTGTTCCACTTCTCTCTTTTCTTTGTTTCCCTTCCTTTCTTCATGTGGCTCCTTTCTTCCTTAATCTTCTCTCTGCTCCCTTCCCTCACTTTGCTTCCCTACCCTCCCTCTCTTACCACCCCTCCCTCTCCTCTCCCCTTCCCTCCATCTCACTTACCAATACACTCCCTTTCCTCCAGCTTTAATCTACTTTGCTCTTGAACACACATGCATGCTTGCATGCACAAATCACCATTATGGAGCTCACACCTGAGTAGGCATGTTAAGAAACATCAGAAGTATTCAGCGAGACTTGTTCTCGAGTTAAGGGGCATGAGCTACAGAGAGAGGCTAATGAAATCGAACAACATTGGAAGACAGAAGAACCAATGGAGACATGATAACAACTTACAAAATAATTGGGAATTCATTGGGGTAGACAGGGACATTGTTTGAGAGGAGAGAAACTGGAACCCTGGGACACAGCTGGAAGTTAAAGACACAGATGAACTACAGGGATGTCAGGAAGTATTTCTTCAGTCTCAGGTTAGTTGGAAAGTGGGATGATCTTAGTGAGGAATTCATAAAGACAGGCTCCATACATAGTTATAAGAGCAGGTGTGGTAGAGCCCACAAGGCTATGAAGGAGTAAATTGGCAAGCAGCAAGTTGAGAAGTGGGGCCAGGAGTTAGGACTCAATCCCTGCAACCCCATGTATATGTGAGTGCATATAGGTGAATGTGTGTACAGAAAGACACACACATGCATATACGTATACATACACACACATATTCCCTTGCACTCATTAAGCTTTACTCAGTGAGTTGTCACAATAAACAGCTTGCTCTACACCTGTCTTTTAGTTCATTCTGTAAGCATCTTGTAGTATTTGTAGTCACTTGGCTGCATACACACTTGGATTCCTTAACCAACAAAAAGTTGCTTCATCAAATGCAACCCCATCCCTTTCTGCTGATGTTCTTTCTTCAACTCTTTTCCCCCTCCCCCTTTACCCCATTACCTCTTTCACCTCTACTATGTAGCACTGTGCAAACCACAGGTACATCATCTTTTAAATATAATAATATTTTAAGTGACAGGTCTGACTATGTCTAGGTCAAAGCTGAAGAGGAGTTACCTTCCTTGTTCTTATTCCCTATTGACCATTTCCCATCTCTCCCTAAAATCCTCCTCCTCCACTTCTCCCTCCCTATCTTTCCTTGCCTTCTCTTCCTTTTCTCTACGTCACTTCTGTATATATATATATATACATATGCCTGCACATAGGACTATAAGAAACATTCAAATTCCCCGGTGAATGTTATTTTGACTTTCTGATGCTCTGCTTTAAATGAGGGATGCAGCTTATTAATAGATGAAGTTAGATGAGGAAAATATAAATGAAATTAAAACTTATAATACTGTTTCTAAAGTATTTACAAAACCTGTATAATACACATATTATTGTGTATTATACAGGTTTATTGTTATTGTTTTTTCTTCAGATTTTCTTAAAGTAAACTCCTCAATATTAGGGCCACAATAACCTTTCTAAAGTAAGTTTTAGGATATTCAAAATAAGTTAATATCAAATCAAATAAAAGTGTTAAAGCATTGTTTATTCTGTGTTACGTTAATATTATTATAGGTCTTAAATTTTTGATGAATATAATGTATGTATCCAAACATATCTAAAACAAAGGCTGTGCCAACTTTAACATGATGTATTTTATTTTTAAGGGACACAAAAATTGAGATCAGGATATATCTAAATTAAATAACTAGTGACTGCTTGCATCAAGCATGCACTGTTGCAGTTTTTTCTATTTACATTTTTATTTTTATCTATCTTAGTCTACAGTTAGTTTTGTGATATTTGAATACATACAGTATTATACCTCCATAATTCAGGAAAAAACACTGTCATGGCCAAAGAAAATACATAATAATCTGCATTTTTTATCATACTATATAATACATGAAAAACATGATAATTTTGAATTATAGTTTCCAACAAATTGTTTGCATTGATGTCAGCAGTGTTGGTAACTGAATCTGTAAGAGCTAGTTTCAGGTTGTTCTAGAATGCCATAATCTAAATTTCATATCTATTACCAATGATGTCATGTAATGGTTTTAAGACTTTTCAAAATGTTTATCTAATTAGTTCAGAACTCCACCAAACAAAATATTATCTGATTTTAGCATGAAATTATTTTTGACCATTCAGATGGGCATCAATTCCTTTGCAGTCAAATTGTCTCTTGTGTGCAGCAATTAAATTATGTTTTCAAGAAATGCAACTGGTGGGTTGCACATCATGTTGCAGTAGCTTCCTAGAGAATGGGAGTTAATCAGACTTGGTCTTATGAAGTGTTTTTGATCCAATTCCTTGGCTCAATATCCCTTCACCAGCATCATGGCACCCCAGTTAAGGGGAAGGTAATGTGTTGATTCTGCTCTCTACCTACTTCAACAATCACACCTACTTCCTCCACATTTGTTCCCACCTTCTCCCTTCTTCTCACCTAGTACTTTTTTTCTCCATAATCACACCCACTTCCTCCATCCACAATCACATCCACTTCAGTCACACACCCACTTTCACCCTGCACCACACTCTCCTCAATTTGAACATTATCATCACTGCAGTACATGAGATAATGTTCTAATTTCACTTGTTGTTGTGTTTGTTGTAAATTCATCCAAATTTATTGGTAATTTCTGTTCTGCATGGGCATTTAGAGGCTGGAGCAGAATATGATGACCAAGAGGGTGTATAAATCTGGGGTGGAAGGGGTCATACTAGGAAGGGCTTGAAGGGGGGGGGGGGGGTACAAGAGGTTTTGAGTGCTAGGGGCTTAAGCTTCTAGCAGGGTTGTGCATGTATGTTATGTTTATCAGAGTGAATGGAAACTAGTGTTTTTTATGGCTTGACATGCTGTTGGTATGAGAGCAAACTAGCACTTATGAAGGGATTTGGGGAAACCATTTAGCTGGACATGAATCCTGAAAGTGATGAAGTACAGTGGACCCCTGCTTAACGATCACCTCCAAATGCGACCAATTATGTAAGTGTATTTATATAAGTGCGTTTGTACGTGTATGTTTGGGGGTCTGAAATGGACTAATCTACTTCACAATATTCCTTATGGGAAAAAATTCGGTCAGTACTGGCACCTGAACATACTACTGGAATGAAAAAAGTTTGTTAACCGGGGGTCCACTGTATAGTGCTCTGAAGGAAGAGTGGGGATGTTTCAGTTCAGAGTTCAGTTCAGCTATTGAATGAATGATGGTGAATATCTTTACTTTTTTGGGTTATTCTACCTCAGTGGAAGACTTTTTTATTCAATGGAAGGACCTTAACTATTCACCAAAATCAACTATGTATGTTATTGTATAATGTCTGCATGTGGCCAGTACCTGATAGTAGAGTTTTTATTATACAGTAGTGAAATACAGTATTATAAATTAACAGTTTCGAGAAGAGAAGAAAACCCTATTTTCATGGTCTATACACAACACTTATTGGGTTAATGCACACAGTATATGCAAGGTACAGATAATCCATGCTTCACAACACAGATTTGTTCCACAAAAATCTGTTATACAGTACTGTTGGCTCTTGAACAATGGGTTTGAAATGTGTGGGTTCACTTATATGCGGATTTTTCAATAAATGTATTAGAAAATTTGGGGGGATTTGCTAGCAAAAAAAAATTAAGAAAAAGTTACGTATGTCATGAATGCATAAAATATAGGTAGATACTAGTCTATTTTATCATTTACTACCATAAAATATACACAGATCTTTAATCAAAATTTAAAATTTATGAAAACATGCACAAAAACAATTACAAATCATATATGTTCCATTCACAATCAAGAGAAATGTAAATAAAGGTAAAGATGCAATAATATTATATAATAATAATAGTGAGGC